TTCCCAACTGTTTATGCTCGTCTTACCTCAGTTGACGTCGACCATCATAGAAAAGGTGCAGTAATCCAGCTTGAAGTACTACCGACTGGTATAAAATACCTGGTTCGGACAGAGTTCTGTGCTGGTAGCGCATATAGCAGAACTCCGTGATTCACTTCCAGCCTAGTGACTCCACCTGGATACGTGCACATTAAATGTTTTGTGATTGAATGGAATTCATGTGGAATAAGTAAGTTGATGCTGGTTTTGAGTGTAATTTCACAGTTTTTAACTCATTCATACTCAGCTAGCTGTGGCGATCATGATCATACCTACAATGTCGTGTGCGTCGTCAGAATAGAGTTATACGGCTCAACAACGACCGTCGATATATGTGGAGCCGGATGTAGAGCGGCCTCCAGTTTTGACTTGTTCCCGAAATCCACCGACAGTCGCTCCATCAGTAACGAGGTGGAACACGAACCAGTGTAATGGCATCCTTCAATGTCGGCTCTTCCTATCATTGTGAAGCAGAATTCACCAAGCGTTGGATTGTTCACCCACTAATAGGGAACGTGAGCTGGGTTTAGACCGTCGTGAGACAGGTTAGTTTTACCCTACTAATGAGTACAGTAATCAGTGAAGTACAATCTGGCCGTTGCTATGGTAATCCTGCTTAGTACGAGAGGAACCGCAGGTTCAGACAATTGGTATATGTGCCTGGTCGAAAGGCCAATGGTGCGAAGCTACCATCTGAGGGATTAAGACTGAACGCCTCTAAGTCTGAATCCCGTCCATATTTGCAACGGTACATTCCGTATCCGACACGTGGCTGAGCAAGCTTACGTATTCCTTTTGGTGTCCGGACTGGACCATGTGTTCGGCTAGGCCCATTAGGTCTGGTGTTACGCCAGAGCGATGACCATAAACTATGCTCCGGATTTCGGGGTGTAGGGGTCGACACGATATCTAATTGTGGTATGAGCGTGAGGATACTAAATCGTTTGTAGACGACTTAATGTTCTGTCGGGGAGACGTAAGTGCTCGAGCAGCTATCACACTGCGAGGCATTGAGTCCTATCCCTGCTTGACGTAATGATTTCACTGTAGTAACAGTCTTTACACACCTCATACTACAAAAAATATGTAATTAATCCCAGCACTACTCCTTTCGAAGTCAACCAAAGTTACGACAGTCGAGTGACAGGACGAGCTACGCAGAAGTTTATCGAGGATCAGGAACCTTCGCCTCACAACCAACAAGTGAGTACAAAGAATTCAGATTGGTTTAAGGAGGGAGGGTGGCGCTAGCTCATCAGTAGATATGGTGGGGGTCACTAAGGTGAATCACCCCATTCTGCAGGAACAGCAATATGCAATTTGAAGGCTCGAGATTTTCATGATTTTTATGAGGGCTTAGATCTTTATCTTGAAAAAGATAATAATGAACGCCTTGACAGATCATGCTTCTACCTTTAAATATATACCATTCGCTCAGCCTATTGTTGAGATGCGACCACGTGGGATCTGCACAGATTTATGGGGCATCTTATAAATTAACTTGCTATCCATCGTCAGATCTTTAAATACCACTTCACAATATCTTGTCTCACTTATTTTCTAACAACGTCTTTACTTGATCCTCATTATATTCCATTAAACCTAACATTCTATAGCTCTTTATGAATTTGATTCGACTTATTCTATTCCTATTCTCTGGGGGGTACGGTTGTGCACCAAATAGACAAAAAGGCATGAAATAAAAACAACTGGCTTGAAAATAATTGTATTAAGGCCAAAAGGGGACATCATGATAGTATAAAATATATTGGTTTTATTATACATTGCAAATGAAAGTTGTCGGCCTAAGGATTAATTACTTCCCCATTCTGTTTTCTATATAAATGTGTTTATTAATGATATATTTCACTCACCTAATCTATTACACTTTAATGTTTCACCTTAGCACTTTAACTTTTCTAGAACAGCTTCCAATCCCTTGTAAACGTTGTACTTACCTCAATATTGGTTGATTATCGTATGCCTACAACCACGGGATGAAAACGAAACGAAGTCGATTTTCCCGCTCAACCTGGAGGACAACTGTACAATTCAATAACTATACGGCCTGGTTCAGACAATGAGTGTAATTATAAATATATATATATCAAATATTTAACTGTTGAAACATTATTAACTTGTAGACAATTTAAGATTTGACATTATAACATACTTGATCGTGCCTGTAAAAATGGCATGCATTTTCATGTAAATTTATGTTTATATGAAAATAAAATTATTAATATACTAGCTCGTAAAACCGATATTGGATAATCGGATATTGCTTATAATTAGCAGAATATGACAGATTTATACACAGGATTTAGATTTAGAGTCTCTCTCATGAGGTCTCTGAGATGTCATCTCCATAATATTGAAATTCTTAATGTGCATCAGATATTCAAGTTTAACCTTGTACCACATAGATGTTGTGATTCAATCAACGGCCCTGACGCGTTTTTCAAATTTCTCCGTGACTGGCGTATTTCGTCGGTTGCGTTCGTTTCTCACTTCCCAACTGTTTATGCTCGTCTTACCTCAGTTGACGTCGACCATCATAGAAAAGGTGCAGTAATCCAGCTTGAAGTACTACCGACTGGTATAAAATACCTGGTTCGGACAGAGTTCTGTGCTGGTAGCGCATATAGCAGAACTCCGTGATTCACTTCCAGCCTAGTGACTCCACCTGGATACGTGCACATTAAATGTTTTGTGATTGAATGGAATTAATGTGGAATAAGTAAGTTGATGCTGGTTTTGAGTGTAATTTCACAGTTTTTAACTCATTCATACTCAGCTAGCTGTGGCGATCATGATCATACCTACAATGTCGTGTGCGTCGTCAGAATAGAGTTATACGGCTCAACAACGACCGTCGATATATGTGGAGCCGGATGTAGAGCGGCCTCCAGTTTTGACTTGTTCCCGAAATCCACCGACAGTCGCTCCATCAGTAACGAGGTGGAACACGAACCAGTGTAATGGCATCCTTCAATGTCGGCTCTTCCTATCATTGTGAAGCAGAATTCACCAAGCGTTGGATTGTTCACCCACTAATAGGGAACGTGAGCTGGGTTTAGACCGTCGTGAGACAGGTTAGTTTTACCCTACTAATGAGTACAGTAATCAGTGAAGTACAATCTGGCCGTTGCTATGGTAATCCTGCTTAGTACGAGAGGAACCGCAGGTTCAGACAATTGGTATATGTGCCTGGTCGAAAGGCCAATGGTGCGAAGCTACCATCTGAGGGATTAAGACTGAACGCCTCTAAGTCTGAATCCCGTCCATATTTGCAACGGTACATTCCGTATCCGACACGTGGCTGAGCAAGCTTACGTATTCCTTTTGGTGTCCGGACTGGACCATGTGTTCGGCTAGGCCCATTAGGTCTGGTGTTACGCCAGAGCGATGACCATAAACTATGCTCCGGATTTCGGGGTGTAGGGGTCGACACGATATCTAATTGTGGTATGAGCGTGAGGATACTAAATCGTTTGTAGACGACTTAATGTTCTGTCGGGGAGACGTAAGTGCTCGAGCAGCTATCACACTGCGAGGCATTGAGTCCTATCCCTGCTTGACGTAATGATTTCACTGTAGTAACAGTCTTTACACACCTCATACTACAAAAAATATGTAATTAATCCCAGCACTACTCCTTTCGAAGTCAACCAAAGTTACGACAGTCGAGTGACAGGACGAGCTACGCAGAAGTTTATCGAGGATCAGGAACCTTCGCCTCACAACCAACAGGTGAGTACAAAGAATTCAGATTGGTTTAAGGAGGGAGGGTGGCGCTAGCTCATCAGTAGATATGGTGGGGGTCACTAAGGTGAATCACCCCATTCTGCAGGAACAGCAATATGCAATTTGAAGGCTCGAGATTTTCATGATTTTTATGAGGGCTTAGATCTTTATCTTGAAAAAGATAATAATGAACGCCTTGACAGATCATGCTTCTACCTTTAAATATATACCATTCGCTCAGCCTATTGTTGAGATGCGACCACGTGGGATCTGCACAGATTTATGGGGCATCTTATAAATTAACTTGCTATCCATCGTCAGATCTTTAAATACCACTTCACAATATCTTGTCTCACTTATTTTCTAACAACGTCTTTACTTGATCCTCATTATATTCCATTAAACCTAACATTCTATAGCTCTTTATGAATTTGATTCGACTTATTCTATTCCTATTCTCTGGGGGGTACGGTTGTGCACCAAATAGACAAAAAGGCATGAAATAAAAACAACTGGCTTGAAAATAATTGTATTAAGGCCAAAAGGGGACATCATGATAGTATAAAATATATTGGTTTTATTATACATTGCAAATGAAAGTTGTCGGCCTAAGGATTAATTACTTCCCCATTCTGTTTTCTATATAAATGTGTTTATTAATGATATATTTCACTCACCTAATCTATTACACTTTAATGTTTCACCTTAGCACTTTAACTTTTCTAGAACAGCTTCCAATCCCTTGTAAACGTTGTACTTACCTCAATATTGGTTGATTATCGTATGCCTACAACCACGGGATGAAAACGAAACGAAGTCGATTTTCCCGCTCAACCTGGAGGACAACTGTACAATTCAATAACTATACGGCCTGGTTCAGACAATGAGTGTAATTATAAATATATATATATCAAATATTTAACTGTTGAAACATTATTAACTTGTAGACAATTTAAGATTTGACATTATAACATACTTGATCGTGCCTGTAAAAATGGCATGCATTTTCATGTAAATTTATGTTTATATGAAAATAAAATTATTAATATACTAGCTCGTAAAACCGATATTGGATAATCGGATATTGCTTATAATTAGCAGAATATGACAGATTTATACACAGGATTTAGATTTAGAGTCTCTCTCATGAGGTCTCTGAGATGTCATCTCCATAATATTGAAATTCTTAATGTGCATCAGATATTCAAGTTTAACCTTGTACCACATAGATGTTGTGATTCAATCAACGGCCCTGACGCGTTTTTCAAATTTCTCCGTGACTGGCGTATTTCGTCGGTTGCGTTCGTTTCTCACTTCCCAACTGTTTATGCTCGTCTTACCTCAGTTGACGTCGACCATCATAGAAAAGGTGCAGTAATCCAGCTTGAAGTACTACCGACTGGTATAAAATACCTGGTTCGGACAGAGTTCTGTGCTGGTAGCGCATATAGCAGAACTCCGTGACTCACTTCCAGCCTAGTGACTCCACCTGGATACGTGCACATTAAATGTTTTGTGATTGAATGGAATTCATGTGGAATAAGTAAGTTGATGCTGGTTTTGAGTGTAATTTCACAGTTTTTAACTCATTCATACTCAGCTAGCTGTGGCGATCATGATCATACCTACAATGTCGTGTGCGTCGTCAGAATAGAGTTATACGGCTCAACAACGACCGTCGATATATGTGGAGCCGGATGTATAGCGGCGTCCGGTCATGCTGTTTTTAAATCTTGAGGATATCTGGCGTTACTTAAGTATCTCATCTGGTGAAAGTCTACTTGTGCATGGTGTGATATTTCACTGCTTCAGAATCATATTTGTTGGTCGAGGATAGAAGGCTTAGAGTCTATGTTGATACTTTTCTGTTAAATTTCTGTGGTTATCCAAATCCCTCCTGAATGAATCAGTTTTGCTTACAAACACCACTTCTTCTGGTAGTTAGTTACAAGAGTTTATGACTCGGTGTAAGAACTATTAATCAATATGAATAGGGTATCTTCTTGGCTTTTGAAATCTCCTGCTATGTCGTCTAAGATGTTCCGACCTGTTGGGAAGGAAAAGAGTGAATAGGCCAAGTCCGTAGTTATTATTTGAAATTTTGAACATTGTGATAAAATCTCCTCTCTGTCTACGGTATGACAGGGAGAAGAGGTTTAAACTGTCTAGACCTTCCTCGTATGATGAAGTAGTCATACCGAGAATCATGCGTGTTGCTTTCCTTTGGAGCCTTTCTAGAATATGTGAGTCCGCTTTAAGACAAAGACTGGCTGGCTGGATACAGTTTTCCAGCCTTAACCTCACTAGAGATGTATGTAAGGAGTTAAACATATGTCAAGTGATTCTAGTTAAGGCTCTGCGAATTTCCCATAAGGATGTGAAACTACGTGCAGCCATGGCGAAACGGTGTTCCGTAGTTTTTGAATCGTGACTAACTCTGACACCTAAGTCCGAATGAGTCTTAACTGATTGGAGTGTTGTTCCGTCTAGTTCGTAGAAGCTGATGCTTGTGTGTCCGATGCGCATGGTTGCACATTTCGCTACAGTGATCAGGAGCATCCATTCTTTGGACCACTGGCTTTGGTGTAGATGCCAGTGTGCATAAGAGAAGTTATATGTTGGGAATAATTGAAGTAGCTAGCCGCGAGTGGCTTCCTCAAGGTATGATTTTAGTAGCGCTAGTGTTCCCTGTATCCGTTTGTGAGCTATCGTAAGTTCCAGGATCATGAGTTGTAAGGATTACATATTGGTGGTATAAATTGATTTAGACAAATTGGCTGAGTAGTTGTAGTGCCACAGGCTGAAAACTAATTCCAACAAATGTAGTGAAACACATGGCCAACAGTCTTGCTCTTCGTACTCAGAACAAGTGACAAATGTTCATAAACCAGAACTTAATAAATTGTCATCAAATTTCTATTTCGTACATGCACGGGATATATTTACCATTAGAATGACACTAAGAGATATAAAACTATCAAGGAAATAGACCACATCACAATCATTCAGTCTTCCCGTACACTCTTCTTATGAATAATATGTCATTCAGTTGAACAAAACATTAAATCTCTATTTTGTCAACCACGAAACGTTTTCGCCATCAGTTCTATTGCTATCACCCATGATACGTACACTGTCTCTTTGTTTCACGTGAATGGAAGCCGGTAGCAACTTTTCTTGATACAGCGATTTTAGGTTTACCGTGAAGCAGGAAATTGTTTTATTCTAATTTTATTTAAAACACGAAAACTGGTACAGCATAGGTACCAAGAAGATGAGCCACACAGTAATAATAGTAATAGTAAAACAACATATGAAAGAAGTAGGTAGAAAATGAATTAAGGACTCCATCTAGAGAGGAAGTAGCTACATTTGACAATACCAAACACTATGCGTGGAATTATTGTCAGGAAGGGAAGAAAGGAGGAAATTGTAGCTCATTCGCCATTGATTGTTTGCGATTCTTCGCCATATCCGATTTGAGCTATCTGTCGGGCCCGTACCAGGGAGTTGTGATGTGCAATCAACCGAAGACAACCTACAACAAATGTTCTTCATCCCACGATGTCACGTGATAAGGCTGGCTGACCACCTTTCCGTTATATCCACCCCATCCCATGGCTGGCTAACTACTAGTAGCCGTAACTTCTTGATTTTTGTGGACGCCGACATTTCTGTTGATTATCTGGATTGAGTTATTTTTAAAAAGTAATACTTTGCCATCCGAGATGTGACCGATTTGTAAACTGCTCACTTTTTTTTCCTCAGGGCTGAACGATTTAAATGGATGAGCCTTTTCTTCATTGGTGCACTTGGTCTTTATGCCTCGCGTGCAATTATGCCGATCGCTTCGGTAGATATTGCTTCAGAAATGAATTGGAAGCGTAGGGAAATGGTGAGTTATATAAACAAAAAAGTTTGCTGCATTCGACTTTTTGCATAACACTAGCAGGATAAACTTCCACGTATAATCAGGCCTCTTCAATTTCAGCGATTTTCTAAATCTAGCCCTTAATGCAATATTCATATGGCTTACTGAACAAGCAGACTAGAATAGGCATACTATCCCCGCGGTGTCACAGTCTTGTGCTAACACGTTTTTTTAAAGATTTTTTCTTGAAAATAGCTAGAATTCGGTTGTTTCTTTTGATTTTTGATGGTGTATAGGTGTTCCCTAAATTTGTTACTTTTATGAAGGAGATTGACTAGTAAATTTAGTTTATCTTACGACCGGTTGCCTATATTAGTTTAAGTGAACAAGGGATGAACCTATTTTCAGACAGGATGATGCGAGTTCGTTTTATTTCGTTGATTCTCTCTCTCTCTCCAAATGCCTACATCCAAAACAAAAACAATTATAAGGTACAAAATGGTGTCTGAACATACTTTTTCTCACAGTGACTTCGAGTTATAGACAGACGGTATAGGCAAAATAATTCCAAAGATGATGTAGGTAGACGTATTATTCAGTGTTTAAAGAGTAACACAAGTGTGGTAGAGTTCAGATTTTACCTGGAAACAAGGATGGACTAGAGAAGAAACACAAGATAAAACAATAGAGTGAATGTTTGCATATTGTAGTGGAGAGTTCATGAGGGCGGGTGTGAATAGTAAAATGAGATTATAAGACAAAGTAGTTTAGTAGTGAGTTGAACTCACAAAGTGAAAATCAAGAGTGGAACTAAGTGGAATTTCATGCAACTGAACAAAACACAGACGCAGATGAACAAAACAATTATGGTTGCTAGGATAGTGAGTGATTAGTCACATTATCTTTCTGTATACAGAGGTTGGGTCAAAGTCTTTTGATGGTAGCAGTGGCTTCTTCGAATCTATGTGACTACGGTTTTCTTGGTGTATTGATTATCTTGAAAGCCTGACTAATTTCCACTGTATGTCCGGTGTGAATCTATCGTATTGCATCTTGTATTTTGCCTCTAGTTCATGCTTGTTGTGCAAGCAAGATGTGAAGTCCACTGCTGCTCTTGTCTGATTGTGATATGAATAGTTACTCTTCTAACACTGAATAATACGTCTACCTACATCATCTTTGGAATTATGTTGCCTATACTATCTGTCTATAACTCGAAGTCACTGTGAGAAAAAGTATGTTCAGACACCATTTTGTACCTTATAATTGTTTTTGTTTTGGATGTAGGCATTTGCAGAGAGACAGAGAGAGAGAGAGAATCGACAAAATAAAATGAACCTGTATTATCTTGTCTGCAAATATGTTGGTTCTCTCTCAATTCAAATTTACCCTTTTATCAATGAGAAAATGTAGAATTTGACATTGCGTTATTCCTGTACGTGTGGTGTCTTTATAATGCAGATAAAGTAGCAAGTGTTCATTGTAACGTTGTCTGTATGCTGCAACTGCGATGTGAATACTGTATAAGTTCGGTATCTACTTCCTTGGTAGCAGGCTAAATAAGTCGATCAATCGTCTAAGCCTTTTTAAAAGGCATATCTACTTACAGTCAACACCAGTGTACTTTGTTAGGAGAAATAGCACTACTTTACAGTATGTATATATATGCCTAGGTGAAGATATAGGGAGTGGGTTGCTGTTGTGGACGTAAGCAGTGTAGGTATGTGTATATTGCGTGACGACTGTGACCGGTGTATGTGACCAAGAACCAGTCGTTTGAGTCAGCTAGGTAGCTGTGTGGGTAGATGTCTTTATACTTTGCTTTCACGTCGATTACAATTTTACATTTCTTGATTTGGTGTGCACCTTCTTTTTCGGTTTATTCACACTCACTCCACTAACTTCGATTATATTTCCATTTTGTTTTCCAAAACTTTAGTATTTATTATTATTATTATTCCCTTGGGTTTTAAGTGAAAAATAGGGTTTCAACAAAGCTGTCTTCTAATTAATGTGCTTTCATGCTGTGATCCGCTCACGTAAAGATGCCTACAGTTGAACGAGCGGACATAGGAAACAGGCAGCTATGAAGTTGATACGCCCCACCTCCACTCCAAAGTAATGGGAAGGCAGAGTTTCTATTTAAGAAATAGGTGTATCTAAGATTGACAATGAAACTCGTTCTGAAGAGACATAGTTTTATAATATGCAGTCAATTGTAGAAGGAGTAAGTAGTAAAAGCTGCTGATAACCTATAAACAAAAGGCAGTAAGTGCCAGTGGATTTCTGATGTTTCAAACGAACTGGATAGGCTGATCACAATGGGCTTAGAATATGGAATTTGACCAGAAGTCTCCGGAACAACCGTGAAGAGTGTTGGGCGGCTGGGCCAAATATCGGTGGCAGGTAATACCAAACAACCAGTTAGACTCGCTGGGTAACAGGTGTTGTTAAAGAGAAACGATCAGCTAGATAACTTCTAAGAAGCAAAGTACTTTATTCGCCTCAGAGAATGAAATACTGGAGTCCTGTGGTGAACTCTGAGAGGCATAGTTCACCTTGCCTACCACTACGTTAAATTTGCCCAACATCTACCTGTGTAGCATGTGGACACTTGTCTCCCAACTGTAATATGGGCTGCAAACTGTCTCTAGCCTGAAACGAGACAAAGCAGCTGAGCGTAAATAAAGACAAAGATCAAATGAAGAGTTAGCTGTGGAAACTATTTTAGGGTGGATAACGGGTGAAATGCGGCAAGCAAAAATAAGCTACTAGGGATGAAAAAATTCAAGAAAACTATTCTTGAAATAGGGAAGGTAAGATTGTATTTTGCATTCCATTGTTTTGATTAGAGTAGATATATTTTAATTTTCCCATCCTAATATATGTATATTGTGTAGATAGTCTTTTCTCTTCTCTAGGGTTTCATGATGGGTGTCTTCTTTTGGGGTTATGCTGTCACCCAGTATCTCGGTGGTTATTTAAGCGATATGTTTGGCGGAGAGGTTGTCATTGCAATCAGCTCACTTGGATGGTCGTTACTAACTATTTGTTTTGTATGTCTGCCAAGTATCAACTTTGGCATTTATAATGTGTATGGGTTTTTCATCGTCACAAGATTTTTCTTAGGAGTATTTCAAGGTAAGTTATGCGCGCGTGTTTCCGCCATCGTTATTTATTGACCTTTATTTATTTAGTAAGGTGGGTATAAAAGCATAAAATGTTTTTAAACTGAGATCTTATTCTTTAATTTAATTTGAACTTTCCCGTTGATTGATGATTGGAGCGAAGTGCTCGGGCTCAGTCAGGTTGACAACATGTTAACTGGTGTTGTGCAGTTGTGCTTGGACGACTGATGTCCGGTTATTTAATTGGAAGTAAATTGGTGGATGTTGGCGGACTAGCAGTGTGTGTGAAATCCATCGGGATGCGCATTTCATCCTCCTCCTCGGGAATATTAGTCAGGTCGCTGGGTGTACCTGCAGTCCTCACTGAGTGGATGATAGTGTTCTCCCCACTCACTGAGACACAAAGCCCCAGTACCCACCCGTAGTTTCGAATGACAAAGCTTTATCCACTAGACTATTTGTATCCAATGCACACCCTGGATTCTACACACCGCTAGTAAACCTCAACCAATTTACTTTAAGATCTTATTCTGTTAAATTTTGTTATATGTATGCTGTTTAAAATCAAATATAGCAATAGAACTCCATATTAGGCAAGTTTATTTCAAATATTAGACAGTGATGAAGCAGTATTAATAACTGGATGACAAGGTTTGAAGCAGAAATTATTGCTGCTCATAATCAATGTCAACTTACTGACAAGGTTTCATTATTTTACCGTATATGTTTCTTCCTTTCACCTTGTTAGTTATACATAGTAATTTTCCGTATATCAGGTCAGGTATAGGATAGAGATTTGGTTATCTGATGTAATGTCCTCAGGTCCCTTTTGCCTGCTACCTTCTCAGCTTCAGTGGCCAGATTGTCGTAGAATTGTCTTTTGTCCTTCCTAGCACTCTTCTTCACTTCTCTGTCCAGTGCTGTGTAAGTTGTACTCAGCGTCTCCTTCTCTTGTCCGTCTTTGCATTGAACTATTTTCTCTTTCATCATTCTCCTCTCCTCTATTAGTTTCCAAGTGTCCGTTGAGAGCCAGTCCTTGTCTTGTCTCTTCTTTCTTCCTAAAACCGTTGAACACGTTTCGTTGAAAATCACCTTCAGAGAGTTCCGATGGTCTTCCACGCTTGGTTTTTCAGTGATGTCACGTAGTGTTTCCTGCCTTGCTCTAACTGTTGCAGTGAAAGTGTCTTTGGGGTTGTGTCTTTTGGTTTTTGAGTGTTGAACTTGCATTGTGGCCTATCCCCAGCTATCCTCAAGGCTTTTAGCTTCACCTTGAAAATCTTTTGTACCAGATAGTGGTTTGAACCCACATCTGCTCCTCTTCTCGATCTTGTGTCCAGTAGGCCCCGTCTCCACTTTCTTCAGATTGAAATGAAGTGTATCTGGATTTGGTGTGTCCATCTGGTGAAATCCATGTCGCCTTGTGTATATCCTTGTGTTTGAACACACTTCCACCAATCACCAAATCATTGAAGGCTCAGAAGTCTGAGAAGAGTTCACCATTGTCGTTCATTTCACCGAGGGCCTCATGACCCATGGTGAGTTCTCTTCCTGTATTGTCTCTTCTCAGCTTCGCATTCATATCATCCATCAAGATTTTGATATCGCCATTTGGGACGTTGTCCATTATTGCTTGTAGTTGTCTGTAGAACGCCTCCTTCTTCTCTTGTTCTGAGACGTTTGTAGGCGCATAACATTGAATGACTGTAACTTTCCTTCCTTTTGAGTTGAACCTGGCTGTCATTATCCTGGAGGAGATTGGTCCCCACTGCATGAGAGCTTTGGTTGCTGTTGGTGACATCATGATGGCCACTCCCTCGGTGTGCTCGTGGTTGTCCTTTGGTTGGCCGGAATAGATTATTATCTCTCCAGTTGATAGTTGGCACCTTCCAGTTCCGTTTCACCTGCTTTCGCAGATTCCCAACACTTCTATTCTATACCTTCTCATTTCAGCGGCTATCTGGGCAGCCTTTCCAGTTTCGTACATTGTACGAACATTCCAGGTACCCATCCTTACTTTTGCTTTCATCGAAAGAAGGCACATCACCTGACTGGCTTCCCGAAGGCTAGCTTTCACCAGCCTGCGTCATTTCACTTCCCCGATTCCAGAGAGAAATAAGGTTATTGTTTATATTTTTAGAATTTTTAATATATTGGTGCATTGAAGTTTCTGTAGCGGTTTGGTTGGGTTTGTGGGAGTGGAGTTTCTAGCACCACGCCCCAACCCTCCCTCTTTATCTGGGCTTGGGACCGGCTAGGAAACTAGCAAGCCAGTAATGTGGTGAGGTTACTAACAGTCATTACATAGTAAGTGATCAGTAAATCGTATTATGTATTTTGTTAATTGAATCTATCGTGTCCTTAGGATAACGTCTATCTCTGGAAGGGTTGGCTAGTTTAAACGCCGTCCGGACTAATTCCAGCCTCACTGAGAACCCTACGTAGGGCCTGTGACGACGTTCCTTCTCTATATGGCAGCACTACAGAGGCTTTGAACTCTGTGTTACTTTCTTCGTTATTTTCGTCATTTTTACTAATGATGTTATCTTTCCTATGGTTGTTGAAATATTTGTGAATAAATTCTGATGGTTGGGCAGTTGTTCACTAGTAATCTTTCCTTTATTTGTTTGATTTCATTATTTAAATGTTTTTGCTCACTTGTTAGTTAGGCTTCTCACCCGATTATGTAAACATTTGATGGCACCTACCGTCCTTTACCGATTCCGGATGAGATCGTTTGAAGTCTAATTATTATTTAGCGAAAAATCTACAAGTGATCTAGTACGCCGTAGAGTGTCATCATTGAGTGAATTAAAATAATTGGTGTAGTCTGATGCCTAAAACTAGTAGATCCTAGTAGAGTAGGCCTTACGTAGGATTCTCAATAAGGCTGGAATTAGTCGAGGTGACATTTAAACCAACCAACTCTCTCAGAGATGAACTTCGTCGGCTTTAGGACTGAATAGATGCAATTAAGAAAAATCACATACAATTTACCAAATACTTACTATGTAATGACTTATTGAGGTGAATTACATAAATCAAACAAGTAGATCGGAGTCAGTTGTATTATTGACTAAAGTTAGATGAAGTCGCTGCATTGAGTAGGCGTCTGGAACTGCTACACATAGGTGCAAAGTCCTGTGTTGAAGTCAGTCAGTGAAAAATATCGTCCTGCTAGGTTAAATAACTTGGAAAACACACGTCGGCCATCACATTGCATTCACGTGAATTAAACAGTAGTACAGGTAGATGGAAAAAGAAAGAGGTTAGTCACTGAATCTCTTTATCGATTCACGACCGTACACTTGCAATGGAAATGCCGTAACGGCTATGTCGGAGATATGGACAGTGGCAACAAACAGCGAGGGGCGAAGTAGGGCGAGCGATAATATACGTATCAGACAGATTGTGCAGTAGTGTGACTGAACTAATATGATTATGGTGCTTTGTATGAATTGTGAGGACGAAAATTCCTATCTTCAGTGGAGGCTGGTAAAAGTAGTATAGAGTTATAAGTAATATTACTTGTGTACAACATTGTGGTTATTGCACCGAGATTTGGCACTTTTGTGTGAAGGGGAAGTGTAATTCAACCGTTTGAGTAATAAAATAAAGCTGTCTGCTCTCTTCTTTGTTTGAATAAAGAAAGGACAACAGTAGTTTGTGCAGAATAATGTGGTGCCATCATTGTGCATTTCGTTGTCTTCTCATCAGCTGCTTATAACCTGAATAAGTTATTAATAAGTTTATGTAGAGAAACAATATTAAAATATGCCCCTAACTAAAGCCTATCCTGCAGCTAGGTTGGTTTCTGTTTATCGGATAACATTTTCTTTGGTGAAAAAGGGGAATAAATGTCTGAACTCTTCTGTGCATTGAAAGCTTATCAAGATGTTTGGCGATTTTATATCATGGGCATAAAGCGCACGTATTTAATATACTCTTCATGATCGTCCATCATTGGGGATTTTCTCTCAATACCTCCTACCTTGAAGAGAATGACTGTCGTATGTGCATATTGAATTGTACCAACAAGTTGCACGTGGTATTTATACTTGTTCTAGCACAGCAAAAACGTCATTGTAGATGCCGATAAGACTAAAATTACTTGCATAATTGAGTGTGTCTAAAACAATGTCCGGAGAAAGCTTTAATCTCACTCCTGTATTGCTGGATAAAAGGGATGTATCGATAATAAATAGTGTGTTGTTTCCTTTAGAGGAGGATTAGCAAGTCAGATATGCTACCTTCGTGCTGATGGGTGGGGCAGGAATAGAAAGATTCGGCTGCAACATTTGTAGGTATCTGGGGAACTTTTACTGGAGCCCACGAAAGAGGAAGAAAATCCAAAAACTGTGTACTTCTACTGGCCCCTCTTTGGGGTGTAGTCAAACGAAAACATGGCATCAGTCAATGAAATCCACAATAGTTAGTTTAAGCCATGTAGGAAGGTGTAGACTTCCTGGTTGGGGTCTTCGAGACAGTAAGCACCACTTGGTGCTATGGCTCAAAATCGTTCTCAATGGCGCAGATGCATCCACTGCTTGTGACTTATAATACCCAATTCAACTATATTGTTCTTCGATATTACAATTCTTTTTGACTCATATGTCTGTTTACTATCTCTATTTGGTATTTATTTTTACTTTCTCCCCGTGCTTTGTGTGCTAAGTGAAGTGTGGTGACTCGAACTGCTGCACATCGGTGCAAAGTTCTATGTTGAAACCAACCAGTCAGTACTTTTTAGGTGTACTTAAAAAGCGCACTGGCGCTTACGTTTTGTGATCAACTGACGTGTGTTCACCATTGAGTAGTCACTGGTATCACAATTGCCTTCGTCATTCTACTTCCTTTCCACAAACTTCATTGCATTCGCCGGCTCCTAATATTTTTTTTTAAGTCTTCGTCTCTTTTCCTAACACTGTTGACACTGTTAACAAGTAAAAGAAGAGGAACGAGAGTTTTTTATTCTCCTTGGTTCTACATGAACCCAAACGTTTTGTTGGAGCGAAA